GTAAAATCAGAGCACAGTGAATATTATCCACACACGTAATGGAAAATCTACCACTAAAATACCTAGGCACTTGCTTTTAAAGACTTAATTATAGCAATCCATGGTAAAGCAGAGACGAGAAATCAGGCTTCTTGATTTCCAGAGATATTCTTATCCATGAAATCACATGTCATCTTTGCATCCTCGTCCCTTATTTGGATAAGCAACACAAATAGAAGTCCATTGCCATAGATATAGCAGGTATAAGTTCCCCACTTTTCAGGTGTCTGCCTGTCTCCTATTTTCTACTTATTGATCACTAGTGGGGGTTCCCGCATGAGTCTGTCCCCCTCTGGATCATTCCCACTCCCTCTCTTGCGGCTTAATGACAGCCCCAATGCATTAACTGTTTAAGAGCCTCTAAACAGCTAAGAAAGTAGTTGGAAGGCTAATTATGGCCGAAGGGCTCAGCCAGATAAAAGTATCTTAGGCCTTAAATGACGAAATGGGGACTTTACCAATGGTTTCACAGCTACAGTGGTTTTTGATCATGGATAAACAAACCTCCAGGGAATTACAACATGGTGGTTAAAAAGAATTGGAAGAATCCTTTGGAAAGATTATTAAGTTTGGGGTGCCTGAGTGGCTCAGTTGGTTAAGCATCTGCCTTTGGCTCAGGTCATGATCCCAGGGTCCTGGGATGGAGCCCTGCATCGGGCTCCTTGCTCAACAGGGAGCCTGCTTCTCTCTCTACCCTTCCCTCCTGCTCGTGATCTCTCTCTCTCAAATAAATAAACAAAATCTTAAAAAAAAAAAAAAGATCAAGTCTGTCTTAATTTATACTTCAGTTGGCGACTAAGGGTATTCATGCACCTTCACCAGTGCCAGCTTACGCATTCATTCATTCATTCACTCATTCATTCTAAACTACTTTATTGAGGTATAACCGACATAAAAACAGCTGTGCATATTTAATGTATACAACTTGATGAGTATGGAGATAAGTAAACATACGTGAAACCATTACCACAATCCATGCCATAAACATATCCATCACCTCCAAAAGTTTTCTCTCTCCCTCTTTATTATTATTGCTCATTGTTTTACTTTTTGTGATAAAAACACTTAAAATAAGATCTACCCTCTTAGGAAATTTTTAATATATATTACTATAGTGTTATTACCTATGGGCACTATACAGTAGATCTCTGGGACTTACTCATCTCTGGCTCATTTATTTTTAATTTTCTAATATGAAAGGTGAAAATGATACTTCACTGGTATTTTAATTTGTATTTCTATGACTAATTATGAGTTTGAATAGCCTTTGAGATGTTTATTTCCTGTCTGAAATTCTTTCATTGAGTACCTACTGTATTCCAGACACTATGTTAGGGGCTGGGATATAACAGTTAACAAGACAAAATGTAGAGTTTACATTTCAGTGCAAGAAACAAACAATAAAAACAATAAAAAAGAAACCCAAATCATTTTTTAACCATTTCAGGTAGTAAGAATTGCTATAAAACACAAAAACAAAAATAATAATAAAGTACAGAGACAGAGTAAAGGGGTCCATTATTTTAGACAGGGTAGTCAAAGAGAGGTTCTCTGAAGAGATGATATTTGAACACAGAGTGAATAGTAGTATGCCATGGGGATCCTTGAGGAAGAATCCAGGCATAGAGCAAAAAGGAAGCTCAAAGCTCCTGAAGTGCGAACATGTTTGCTTGAAGAATAGTAAGCAGGCCAGTGTGGCCGGAGTCCAGTGAGAAACAGGAAGAATGGTCGTAGCAAATGGGGTTGGAGAGATCAGAGGCCAGATCATGCAGGGCTTACCCTGCAGGTCACTGAAAAGGCTTTGTATTTTATCCTATATATTTTGGGAAGTGATTGAATGGTTCTGGGTAGTAGAGTGATAGGATGTGACTTACATACATCTGGCTGCTCTGTGGAAAAGGTCTATAAGGAAGTGAGAAAGTAAAAAGACTAGTTAGGAGACTAGTGGTGACTTGGTATTAGCAGTACAGAGGGAAAGGTGATTTCTTTCAGGATATATTTTGAAGAGGATTTGCTGATGGACTTGATGTGTGATGTAAGAGAAAAGAAGCCAAGGGCAATTCTAAGGTTTGATCAACTGGGTTAGCTATTTATTATAACAGAGAAACACAGGGGAACAACAGTTTGAGGAGGTAGAATCAAGAGTTTAGTTTGGAAAGTATTAAATTTGAAATACAAATGGGACGTCCCAGAGGAAATACCGAGTAAGCAGGACATAAAAGTCTGGAGTTCAAAGGAAGAGGTCTTACTAAAGATATAAATTAAGGGCCCTTCAGTCATAAATGGTATTTAAAGCCATGAACCTGGACTGAGATCCTCTAGGGAATGATTGCAGTGAAGAAAGGAAGTCTGGAGGGTATTCTAAAATTTATAAGCAGAAAAGGAGGATCCAACAGAGCATGGCATGAGATGGAATGGCCAATGAGATAGGATTTCATGTTTCTTGAACTGCATAAGTTCTGTATACATTAATGATACTAGTTTGTCAGTTACTTACACTACCAATGTTTTTCCAATTTTCCATCTGCTTTTTGATTCAGTTTATTTTTGACATATCTACTTAAAAATAGTTGTGGAGTAAAATGTACCAGTCATTCCCTTTGTGATTTCTTCCATTATTTTTAAGCTTAAAAAGTGTTCTAATAACAAGAGATCAGATAGACACTTGCATTGTATTTCTATGTTCGCTTGAGTGTGCTTTGATTCAGTTGGGATTTGTTTTGGTATATGATAAGGTTATAAGTTGATACCTTTTCAAAAGATTTGTCGGGTTTCCCAACACCATTTATTAACTCTTCTCACTGGTCCATGATGTGTTCTTCATACACTATCTTTCATTTGGTTCAGCTTCAGTTTTAAGCTTTGAAATTGCAATAGAGCTGGTGAAAAACCTTCCTTCCAGTCATCACAATGATATTTTGTATAAGAATTTCAATATGCTTGCAAGTAACTGCTAAAACAGAACCAACATTTTGAGAAGAAAAATACAAGGACAGAAGGCTAAATGGAAGAAAGATAAAACATGAAGGGTAGAAAGGAAAGGGTATAGCACATTTTCTTTTTTGAAAAAAAACAGACATTGAAAAACGTAAAAAGATAACAGATGTATACACACAACACGTTTTTGTTGAGTAGCTTTTCCATGCCAGCCATTATCCTCAGTGCTCTCAAGTGTTAGTAAGACAATGTGCCTGCCTTCAGGGGTCTTAGATTTTAGTGGGGAAGTTGGGGAGTCAGATGACACATATAAATGAAGTCTATAACTTCAGTGAGTAATGAACACTATGAAAATAAGATTGGGCAATGAGGTAGAGAGTGAGTAGGAGAGAAAAAGACAAGACAGAGGCCCAAGGGGCCTCTCTGAGGTGACCTTTGGGCTGAGCTCTAAATCATGCAGGAGCAAGAAAAGAGGAAGGAAGGAAGGGTGCTCCAGGAAGGGGGAAGAACAAGTGCAAGAATGGGAATTAAGAGAAGGGGAGAGTGGAAGGAGTGAAGGTCACAGAGAGAAAATGGGCCCAGGAAGAACACTGGATTATCAACACTAACAGGCAGCCTTTGGAGGCCGTTTACATTGGGAGTAATCTGCTGTCAATTGAGAGTTACTCAGCTGTTATGTGAAAACTAATCTGGTGGTGGTGGGGTCGGGGAGAATAGGGGAGAGAAGAAGGGATTCTAGCTAGAACGATCTCATATAAAGAAAGTACCTAAAATACCCTGTTCTTTTAAACATACCAAAACTAAATACTTGACACAATAGGGTAGAAATACAAGTGACTAGACTGTAAGATTCCTGGGGGCAGGAGTTTTACCTGGTTTGTTCACCAAGAAAGTCTGGCACACAATAAAAATTTGTTAAATTAAATGAACGAAGTGACTGGAGAATAGCCTTTTATTAGTGAAACAAGAATCCGATGAAATGAACAAACAGAAAGAGCTTCAGAAAAGCCTCACTGGTTACAGAGCTGGTGTCACAATGACACAGCACATCAAAACAGTGAGACGGATTTCCATCAAGGATGGGTCATTTAAAAATAACATTACACTAAAACAGGGTTCAAGACACAAGTTTAAATTTAGCCGTTCTCTTGTAAACTTCTTCTCACCCCCTAGACTGTGAGTTTCTATGTGGCAGGAATTATGTCTTCTTTTTAACTCTCCAAGTAAGAGCAGAACACATCACGTGTGTGTACTCCATAAATTTATATTTAGGCTGCTGGAATCCTACTGAAGAAAAGCTAGCACATAGGCAAAACGCTGAAGGAAAAAAAAATTCGGACAACTTGGCAGCATTTATCATTACCAACATTTTAGTCTTCCAGAGTAAACTTTGAAATTACATTCTAATTTGAGATGGTTCTGGTTTGACAAGTTAACTCTTGAGACATCTGAGTACAGTATTATGAAAGAACTAAACTGTTCATCAACCCTTTATGCCAATGTTAATTTCTTTTAAAAGTAGAATTTTAATGTTTTTTTATTCCTACAGTGACCCTTAAAATTTCTATGTATGTAATCACAAATGCACACACAAGATGCATTTATAAGCTTATTGTGTAGTGCTAAAGACAGTTGGGAAACCCAATTTTAATTTTGTTACTGAAATAATTTAAAAATATATTATAGAACTGCCTCTTTTCAATCAACAGCAAGGATCTAGAAAGAGATTATACAAGTAGGCGCAATTTATTCAGGTTTATTAGTGTTAGAAAAATGAAGTTGCCTAACTTCAAATTATAACAAATACACTTCTATTTTTCTTCTTACCATTGACATCAATGTATACATTTTCTCATGCCTTTAAAAAAACTCAGATATTTTATTTAGTAAAGATGTCAATGCATGCATTAAACCACTGATATGCTAAAATCTGTAAATTTATTTTCAGCAAATGTGTGAAAATTCCTACCATCTCAGAGAACATTTTTGTGGCTCATAACTTTCATCAGAGAAAGAGGACTTACCGGCTTTTATTCATGAGGTCTGCTCCGCGTGCTTTGTAATAATCTAAATTTGGATGGAATTGGTAAGTCACTGGTCTTGGATTTCTCTATAGAAAAGAAAATTTTAAAATGTATAAAGCTATTTAAATTACACATTAACACATACAAGGACAAAAACAATTGTTTTTATATTCTTTCAGGAAAAAATACATATAATAATGAAGTTCAATAATTAGTATGCTTGGGTTTTGCTTTCATAGGTGAAGTTTTACCTTAAATGATCTCAGTCCTGATTAAACAATGGAATTATTTTATATATTTTACCTGTTTCAAAGTTTACACAGATTTATTCCTGTCATTAGATTTTTTTCCCAAGTACATTTAATGCACTGTGTTGTATTAGTTTCAGGTGTACAATATAATGATTCAACAATTCTATACATTTCCCAGTGCCCATCAAGAGAGGTGTAGATTTATTTCTGATGATTTTGATTGCTTTTAATATGACTTTCCAAAATACAATGAGATAAAATTCTGACGAAACTGAAAAATTACATGAGATGTAACACAAGCACAATCTACATGTAAGGCCTGAGAGATAGGAAGTGTTAAGAAACCTGCATTTTGGAGGGAGAGTAAAAATCTGTTAATTTTTGATAACCAGAATGCTAAATATGCCCACTAGATGGCACACCAAGTCTTTCTCCTCCAAAAATGAATGTGTTATTTTAGAATTCAGCAATTCTTTTAAAGTTAGAAATTTCTATGTCATCTATTCTTATATACGAGTTTAATCAGTACCCAGGTAATGAAAATATTAACAGGGTACCATCAAAATACAAAAGCAAATTGACCAATGCACATTTTCATAAAAACAGCAATATACTGGCCTTTCTGGTATTTGATATTTTTTCATAGACATTGCAGAAATGTCCTGAGATCATTAGGTCAGGGTTGTCTACCTAAATATGTTACTATCACTTAATGTGTCTATTATTTAAATGTGTCAGGCTCCTCATAGGCAAATAAAAATTAAACCAATTTTAGTTTATAAAAATGAAGTATGTTAATATCATAGCTTAAACGAATACCCTCTCTAAAATGTTAAACCACGTATATTTTTCATTAAAAAGTTTTACAAAACTTATAAATAAATGTGTTCCAGTGTTTACCTGAACTTATAATTCAGGTTAGTAATTAGGACTTTGAACTAGAGCATGCCCTGTCCTTTGAGGGATCTATCTAGACATAGAAAGGCTTCATTTTATCTTAATAGAAAATTACCAATATGCTTTGATATCAATCCTTGAAGCCATAATCCCAAGGCACTGATATACTTGTATGTATGTGGGGGTTATATAATTGCTAAGGTTAAATTGTTTGAAATTCATCAAGCTAACAAGCTGCATCTTAATGGCCATGATGGACCTTTTCTTTTTCTGCTGAAAAGAGAACATTTACACAGCTCAACCCTTTCATATCTCTTCCAAGTCAGCCTTAATCATCTGACAAAAATGACAATCCCTTGATTTAGCTCCAGCTACTACTCCTCTGGTTTGGTATTCAACACAGTTCTACAATAATCAAATCTGAATTGCCTTGATGAAGATAACCGATGCTTCCATGACTACCATACTATTAAGTCTAACAGTGCAACTTTTCTCTCTCTAGGAATTACATGGGTTTCCTCGTGGTAGCTGATGACAACCTGGACCCAAGTACAATGGGAAAATAAAATAGAGGTGAAAGCCACTGGCAGATTGCTAGCACATTCATGATTTATTTAAAAAATAAACTTTCGCAGGACTATCATTCATGACTACTTTGGCTCTTTATTCTCACTACCTGGAAATACATTTTGTTTTTGCTAATATTCAAAAGGCTTTTCTTCTCTGACTCCCAACAAACTAATAAAAGATTATGTTACTTTTTGCTAGAAAACAATGAAATAAGGGATTGCATGGAGCAATTTCTTGAACCATCTTTATAAAGAAATGACAAGCAATTCAAGACACGAAGTGCTGATCTATCTAAGCACTTAAAGCCATTATTAGGAATAATGATCTAACTTGAACATATGAATGAGGCTCAAGTATTGCTTTCACAGAGGCCTATTTAAATTCCTAGGAGACTTACTAGTATCAAAGGGAGAGGCAGTTTAAAGTATCGCTGTACCGGGATGAAAAAAAAAAGAATCAGAAGATGATGTTGAAAAACAGCATTTTAAATGTAAGAAAATAAAATCAGAGGTTATAGTTGAAAGTTATTCAATAGGATTTTCTGAGAAGATGATGCTATTACTAAAACATAACTCTATAGACAGAGAGATGGTCGAGACCAGCATTGTCCAACCGAAATACAATGTGGGTCACAAATGCAAGCTTCATAAGTAATTTAAAATCTTCTAGCAAGCACATTAAAAAAAAAAAAATAGAAAGAAACAAGTCGCATTAAAGGTAATAATATTTTATTTGGTTCGGTATATCTAAAATGTTGTCACTGTAACAGGTAATCAATATAAGAATCCTTGAGATATTTTACATTTTTCCTTTTGTACAGTCTTTGAAATCCACTGTATATATTACACTTACACCACATCTCACTTTGGATCAGCCATACTTCAAGTGCTCAATAGCCACATATGGCTTGTGGCTACTGTAATAGACAGCATAGAACCAAATGTCTGACATATACATAAACCAGTGTGTGGCCGTAAAAATCAGTATGTATAGACAGGAACAATAAAAGGGCACAAATACTTTGATATGTTAAGATTCAGTCCTGACAACTCTTCAATTTGCCTATAATTCTTCTCTTTTAATTAAGTTAGTTTTCTGAATAAGGTTTTAAAAAGTCAAGAAATTTTAGAACAATATCCTTTCACACAGCTAGGTACTAAAATGATAACAATGGTTTCCTTAGGGGCATGAGATTAAATGAGCGTAATTCTAACTTAACACAACTGAAATATTTTAAAAGTAAAGAGATACTTGCTTCTCTTATTTAAAGGGATTTTTATCCAAATAAAATTTTTATAGAAATGTAACAGTTCTGATTTTTAATTTTTAAAGATCAGGAATTTCCTTTAAAATATGAGCCAGTAGAATTCTACATATATAAAACTCTGTATGTAAGAGAGACCGGACTCCATGACAGTTGTAATTTTTCATCATACAGGACACGTGATATCAACAGTTTTCATAGTATGTCTTTGCATGGACCAGAACAATTACTAATTATTTTAAATCAATTTTTGCAAGATAGGATTTTGACTATTATAAGTTTTTCCAAACCAATGTGCATTAAAAAAAGAAAACAAACGAAAAACCAAAAACCTCTTGTTTTGGTGAATTTTTCTTTGTAAGAAAGACAACAAAATGGTGATCATAACTGACACTGGCCTGTATACGGAGGAATACCAATTATGTTCCATGACCCGGGATGTCTATATAATTATACACAAAGATGCAGAAATCACAGATTCAGTTCACCCTGAGTTTACCATGCCTTTCCGAGACCAACCCAGATGGATTCGAGATAAATCTTCTACAAGATTGCAGCTAGTTAACTTCCCAAGTACCAGTCACCAAATTCTTCTCTGTTAACAAGACTTTGGAGCTCTTCTGAAACTCAACATTTTATTTTGTTTCAGTATAAGAAGAATGCTGAAAATCCCACCCATGGCATAGCCAGGCTGGATTTTTGGGAGGCATCTTAAAGCCTTATGGACAAAATGACTTCCAGAAGCAGAAACAAGTGTCCTAGAAGGAAGTATATGGGAAAACCAAACCAAACCAAACCCATGCTGTATTTTTGAATTTCCAAAAATGCTTTTGTTAATTTGGCATGATGACAAAACCAATTTACAAATAGTACTTAAATGACAGCAATCAATGTAAGGGATAAAAGTGATTGAAACCTATTTAACCTCTCCATTGCAGTTAATGTTCTACACTTCCAAGGTCTATATTATATGCTAGAAAGCCGCTCCTTAATGTAATTTCAGGTAAAACACCCTTTCCCTTACCGAGTATGACTTCTGACGGTGGCCACCTCTCCTCTGCTCTCCTCTATAATGGAGGGAGGTCATAGATCAGCGTATCACCTCCCTCCTCCTGCAACCCTTATCCCCACGGTAATATTTCAGTATTTTTAAGTTCACGTTCACTTTGTGTGGTAGTATACAAATACTTAAAAATGCTAACCCACCCTAAGTACAACTAACTATAAGATGCTAGAGGAATAATTAACTACAAGATGGTACATGACAGTTTTCCTTGTTCTGAGCCTGGGGATATCAAACTCATCCAACAAAGGTCATTTGATCCCTCAACTAAACTTATCCTCACTTGAAGATGACTATCTCCTTTTGAATTGTTATACAGAGGCCACGGAAGGAAAAGAGTCTCTCAAGTATTCATCCTGCTTAGAACAACACAATGCCTTTCAAAGGGCTGCCTATTTACAAACACAATGTAGAACTGACAGGAGCGAAAGAAAAGTAATTCCCTGATTCCAGTGATCCCTGTTCTAACTTATGAATATACCAATAGGAGTTAAAGTTATATGTTAAAAACAAAGGGACTAGGGGAAACATAACATCACTCATCTGCTTTAGAGGCACGGGCTGCTGGCAGGGGAGGCAAGGGATCAGGAGTCGGTGAGGCTCCTGCTTGGATCCCGGCTCCACCCACCTAAACCCCTGTGCCATGTGAGTTACACCCCTAGCCCTAGTTTCCTCGTTGAAAACCTGTGGTAATGAACATGAAGTGTGCAGTACAGTGCTGGGCACTTGATAAAAACTCAATGAAAAGGAACTATGATTATCTCCTGATAAGGCTGACAAACAGACATTTACTATGAGAGCAGATCTGATAGTCTGACAAGTTAAAATCCATGATAAGCTATAGGTAGAGAAAAGTGATGCTTCTGAAGATCGTATATAAATTTAGGGTAGATATTTATCAACCATGACATTTTTAAAAGCAAAAACACATATTTAGGAAAATATTTCGGGTATATTGGATTTCCTTTGTGGGGAGAAAGGCTGTTTTGCTTCTCAGAATAAAAGTCCATGCATTTATAAATTTTAAAAAATTGTAAAGCC